GCTCCCTGACAATCGTCCCTCATCCTACCAGATGGTGGCTGACATGAGGGAGAAGCGCTACGTGCAGGAGGGCATTGGCAGCAGCTACCTGTTCCGGGTGGACCACGACACCATCATTGATGCTACCAAGTGTGGCAACCTGGCGAGGTTCATCAACCACTGCTGCACGGTGTGCTGGGGGCCTGGCCAGGGTGAGTGGGGTCTGAGGGGGTGGCTACCCAGCTCACTCTGCCCTGTCCTCCTACAGCCCAACTGCTATGCCAAGGTGATCACCATTGAGTCCCAGAAGAAGATTGTGATTTACTCCAAGCAGCCCATTGGCGTTGACGAGGAGATCACCTATGACTACAAGTTCCCGCTAGAGGACAACAAGATCCCGTGTCTCTGTGGCACTGAGAGTTGCCGTGGCTCCCTCAACTGAGGTGGGCAGGACTGGTGCCCACACCCCTATTTATTCCCCTTGGTGCCCTGAGCTCCCAGCCCCTGCCCTGCCCCCCCCACCCTGCTCCTGCCCCTGGCCTTAGTGGGCTCAGGAGGGCCCACATGCCCCCATCTCCAAATACGGAGTTGGGCCCTGAGTCCTGCAAGGGAGCCTCAGTCCATGAGGCAATGTCTGCCTCCCCTGTCACCCACCCTCTAATTTTTTTCTTTGCGGAGAAGAAGCTGTAAATGTTTTGTAGCTGCCAGCAGCTGTTTCCTGTGGAAACCTGGGGTGCCAGCCTGTACAGATCCTGTTCTTGGGGACTGCACACCCCCCTTGCTTTGTGTTAATGGGGACTTCCCTTTTGTGCCCTGCGTGCACCCCTCCCCAGTTTAGGGGTCTCTAGGGGCAGTGGCCATGTTCTCCCCCTGGGGAGGGGGGCCCTGTGCCTCCCTCCTGGGGACTCTGTGCCTGGAACCCTGCCTCATCTTCTGTTCCTGCCAGACCCTGTGGGTCACCCTCCTACCCTGGTGTCTGGAAGCTCCAGCTGGGCCAGGCCAGGATAGTGGGGGGAGCGGGCCCTTCCTGTTGGGCTGGACTGTATATATGTTAATAGCACAAACCCAATGCCACATTTTTATAATTGTGATTAAACTTTATTGTACAAAAGTGCTTGGTCAGTATCTTTGGGAAATAGGATGGGATGAGGGTCAAGGACAGAGGTTAGGGCAAATGGAGAGGGAGACTGCAGTTTTGGGTGGGTACAGAAGCTTTTAGGCAAGAGCCCAGATCCACAGACTCAGCCACCATTGCTCTGGGCCACCTGACCGACTGGAACAGCCACCTAGAATGCCCCAGTGAGCCCAGCCAGACCCGGCCAAGGTGAGGCCTACCTTCCCAGAACCACAGCGGGCCTCCTGGGAAATCCAGCAAGAGGGAAGGACTGACATGCAATAGGAGTGAGATCACCCTTCCTGCTCAATATCCATCCCACCCAAGCCCCTCAGTGCCCACCCTGCAAGTTTTGGTGTCCCTGCCCTCCAAATTCCTTGCTGGAACCAGATGTCGGTGAAGCACACTGGCCACCAGGGGGAGCTCTGTGTCAAGAGTGGGAGAGGAGGGGTGGAGGTTGGGCTGGTCTGTTCCTGGAATGAGCAGGAGGAGCAAGCGGAAGGGGACAACGGTGTGTCGCTGGCCGGAAATGAGAGCGAGCGAGACAGAGACAGAAAGACCAGCTCCTCTGGTGGCTAGTTTGGGCACCCTGGGACTGTGGTTGCAGGTAGGCAGAGGTGATACCAGCGGTCCCTTGCCCCAACTTCAGCCCTGCCCACCTTCCCCTCCCCTTCCTCCCTAACTCCCTGCCACGCACCTCACGCGCGCGTCTGTGTGTGTGCGCGCGCGCCCGCGCGCCCGCTTTTGTCCCAGAACTGCCCCCTCCACTTCAAACACAACCCTTTCTGCAAGCCCTCACTTTATCTCAGTAACTGCAGTGAGCAGGGTCAGAGGACAGGTAGCCTGGTTGCTGCACCCCCCAGGAACAGTTCTGTCCCCAGCAGTGGTCACTGCTTCAGTCCACTAGGTTAGAGGCCCCTTCAAGGAATAACAGGTGGGCTGCCGGTGCTGAGGCAGGTAGCGGCAGGCAACTCAGGTGAACCAGTGTCTCTCCCTAGCAGGACATGGCAGACTCTACACAGACCCAGAGGCTGGTATACCTGGTCACGGGTGGCTGTGGCTTCCTGGGGGAGCATGTGGTTCGAATGCTGCTGCAGCGGGAACCCCGGCTCCGTGAGCTGCGGATCTTTGACCTGCACCTGGGTTCCTGGCTGGAGGAGCTGAAGACAGGTGATCGTGGTGGGGAGTTGGGGGGAGGATGTGGACTCCCTTTGTGGTGGTGGAAAAGATGATGCCTCTTTTTGTTGTCTATTGCACATGGGTGGGGTGAATGAGTCATGCTGGGAACATGTGGTTCCCAAGGATGTAGGCTGAACCAAGCAGCTGACTGGTGGCCCCAGCTCTGACATTGCTTCTGGCTGCCCATACCCAATACCAGGCACAGTGCAAGTGACTGCCATCCAGGGAGATGTAACCCAGGCTCACGAGGTGGCAGCGGCTATGGCTGGCGCCCATGTGGTCATCCACACAGCTGGGCTGGTAGACGTGTTTGGGAGGGCCAGTCCTGAGACCATCCATGAGGTCAACGTGCAGGGTGAGATACTCCCCCACTGTTCTAATAATGCACTTAACACTTCTGGCACATTACCTGACCTTGACTGTTTGTGTCCCACCCCCCTCCCTTGGACCTTGACCTCTGTGATTCTGTTGTGTCAGTCTGTCGTGTGTGTCATTCTGTCGTTTGTGCCAGCCTGTGGTGGTTTTCCCTGGACCTGGGGGAGGAAGCCATGTGCCTTCATCCAGATTTGGGATGGGGGGTGGCTAGATACAGAACGGGAGGAAGCTTCAGTTTGAACACAACCCCACCCCCCCAGGCACGCAGAACGTGATTGAGGCTTGTGTGCAGACTGGAACACAGTTCCTGGTCTACACAAGCAGCATGGAAGTTGTGGGGCCCAACATCAAAGGCCACCCCTTCTACAGGTGAGCTGAGTTTCCCCCCGAAATTTTAAGAGCTCTGTCTTCCCTCAGCATTAAGAATCTTCCCTCTCCCCTACTAGGGGCAATGAGGACACCCCATATGAAGCAGTGCACAGACACCCCTATCCTTGCAGCAAGGCCCTAGCTGAGAGGCTGGTCCTGGAAGCCAATGGAAGGGAGGTGAGACGAGATAAGATGCAGAGCCACAGCAAGCTGGGCTTCTTCGCATCCTGACCTGGGAACCTCCCTTCCACTCCCAGCTTGAAGAGGCCAGGGCAGAGGGCAGGCCACTGGGTCTTAGGTCTTAGCAGTGCCTACCTTTTGTCTCCAGGTCCGTGGGGGGCTGCCCTTGGTGACATGTGCTCTGCGTCCCACCGGCATCTATGGTGAAGGCCACCAGATCATGAGGGACATCTACCACCAGGGCCTGCGCCTAGGAGGCCGGCTCTTCCGGGCTATCCCAGCCTCTGTGGAGCATGGACGGGTCTATGTAGGTGAGGCCTGGGCGAGGCAGGGGAGAGCCTAGGAATGGGGCAGGACCTGCACAGTTCTGGGAGGTGTGCAGTGTGTACCCTGGAGAGAAAAGAACAGTCTATACGTGGTCCAGGGCAGACTACATGTGGGCACTGTCCGCAAAGGCCACAGAGGAAACAGCATCCATGCAAGTTGGGAAGGCTGGCATAAAAAATATGTCACAGGCTAAAGAGAGGATCGCACGAACAGAAGCAGCAGCCCCCAGGAGGAGGGGGGCAGCATCCACATAGGCCCAAAGAGGAGGTGGCTTGTGTTTGGGCTGGCCTGGGAGACAGCAGCATCTACACGGTCACAAGGATACTCAGGGGCACATGCACCCCACTTCCCTCACCGGCAGGTAACGTGGCCTGGATGCACGTGCTGGTGGCCCGGGAGCTGGAGCAGCGAGCAGCTCTAATGGGTGGCCAGGTGTACTTCTGTTACGACAAATCACCCTATAAGAGCTATGAGGACTTCAACATGGAGTTCCTGGGCCCCTGCGGACTGCGGCTGGTGGGCACCCGTCCACTGTTTCCCTACTGGCTACTGATGCTTCTGGCGGTGCTCAACACCCTGCTGCAGTGGCTGCTGCGACCGCTGCTGCTCTACGCACCTTTGCTCAACCCCTACACGCTGGCTGTGGCCAACACCACCTTCACTGTCAGCACCAACAAGGCTCAGCGCCACTTTGGCTACGAGCCGCTCTTCTCATGGGAGGAGAGCCGGACCCGCACCATCCGCTGGATGCAGGCCAAGGACAGTTCGGCCCAGTGACAGTGGAGCTGGGGCCTGGAGCCCAGCACAGCCCATCCATCCAGGTCCAGAGCCCACAGACCCTGGCTAAGGAAGGAAGGCTGCATTCTAGAGCTAGTGTCTGGTGCCAGACTGGCTGAGTGCCAGAGGTCTCCACATGTTAAATCTATGAACTTTAAATCTGTGTCCTGATGCCTAAGTTCTAGGGAAAGAACTTCTTCACTCTCAAGCCAGGCCTGACGGCTGGTTGGCAAGGGTCTGATTTCTCCGATGTTCTCAACTGCCATCCCATTATTGGCTTTTCAATCCAGAAGTTGGTACAAGTTCCACAGGCCTCATGCTTTGCCTTCTGATGTCCAGGCGTGAGCCTCAAGCCTGGGTTCTGAGTGAAGAGGCTTTCTGACTCTTCCTGTCACCTTCGTCCCTCCTTGGGGGCCACACTTCCATTATTTTAAAACATTTATCACCTTTAGATGTTTATCTTTTAAGTCTCCTCAGTGAAAACCGAGGAGATCTGTATATTTTCACTTCTTCCCACCCTGTATTCAAATTGAGTTCCTGCAGTATTGTGAGATCTCCACCTGAGGCCTCCCCGTAATTCTGTGCCTGCCCAAGCCCTGGATTAAAACTCCTTATCTGTGCCTGTGTCCAGCCACCTGCCCGGCTCCGTGGCCCACCTCCCCCCATGTGTCTTCCCTTCCCACGGCGCCTGTCCCGTGTGGGGACAGAAGGAAGTGAGCACGCAGCACACCCGCTGTTGGATTGGTTGCTATTTCTCCCGTCCCATGGGGCCCAACCCAGCCCAGGGTGGGGGTGGGGGCACTGGGGACAGGACATGCAGGGCTGAGGACAGAGGGCAGAATTTTCCTGTGTTTTATCCATTTGCAACTCAGTCACCAATAGAGAAAAATGGGTCTCTGAGGGCTAACAGGAGAGGGTGGCCTGGCTCTGGGCCCCCAGCCAGGCCCCAAGAGTCCTGTCAAGAGGGAAGGAGCTCTAGAACCAATGGAGAAACAGAAGGGGCAGGGACTCATGTCAGCAAACACAGCTATATCACATGACACGCCAGCGACACGGAAACGTGCCAGCACACATGGCTGCACAGCGGGCAGGGCAGGTAGAAGGGAGCCGGGGGCCGCCATCTTGTCCTTTGCAGGGCGGGCTGGGGGGTCTGGGGTGAATGCATAGAACACATCATGTACACACACTCCAGACATGGCAAGAGCGTGTGCCGACCCACAGGCACATGGGATGGACACGCGCAGTGTGCTTCATGAGAGGCAGAGCTAGGGTTAAAGGGGCAGGGGAAGCAGTGAGCCCTGGCCGGGCCCGGCACCACCCATGGGGCGCACATGGTTGGAGGCGGAGAAGGGTGGGCCGAACACACTCCTTCAAGACCACACGAAAGACATGAGCCCCAGGCCACACTCCAGGCCACACACGGACACAGCAGCCAACAAGCAAACACAGCACATGACTCAAGACTTGTGCAAGCTCAGGGGCAGCAGATCCTCTGGGATACTCTGGTCCAACTGAGGCCCAGAGACAGGCAGCCAGAGGCCTAACGCCACTCAAGGAGGCGGCAACATCACTGGAGCCACAGCCCCACCCTTTTCCTGTGGCCCCAAGGCTGCGAGAATTCCAGAAACACCTGGGCTGGGCGTCTTGGTTGGGCAGCAGGAAGAGGAAAGGGAAGGCGGGGAGTGCGGGGCCTGCTCCGACTTCCCCAGAGAAGTCCGAGGACAGAGAAGGGGGGCTGTGGTGGGGGTGGACTTTCTGTCCATGAGAAGGATATTCTGGGAATAAACGGGCAGATGCCCCTCTTCAGGACAGCCCACCTTGCGGTTTACACATACTGGCCACACACAGGTAGGGCCCAAACAGCCAGGAAGGGAAGAGACTGACGACCCAGGTTGGGGTGAGGACAGGGAGGGTATCGTGTTCCAGGTCACCTCTGCGTTCTCTCTCTCACACACACAGTTTCACACGCAGTGGGACCCTGGGAAATGATCTGCACACCACTCCGAGTCCTTCCCCTGTGCACGTGTAGTCCCACCCCCAGGGCAGGACACATTCCTGTACTTGTGTGTTCAGTCCTGCGCACGTGGGTCCATGTTTCTCAGCCATGGAGTACGGGGACCATCTAACATTGTCCTTTGCTCATGTGCCTCCCCTCTGCCACCAAATGCACAAAGCCACCCGTATATATGTTGCCTACATAAGGGAGGAGCTGGCCCTTCCTCACCGTCAGGAACTCAAGCCTGTGTCCCACCTTCAATCTTGCCCTGGTGGGGGCACAGCTATTCCAGACATTTCAGCAAATGGGTCTGGGGGTGAATCCTGGGACTTAGCCCACCCGAGTGGCTGCTGCCACACTGGCCATTCCAGGGTATCTTCAATAAACAGTTCCCCAAGCCCAAAGTCCCTGAGGCAGAGCCTAGAGCATCCAGTGGGCCGGCGGGGACCAATACTGTCCTCCCCCCATTCTGAGTACACGATGGAAGGCAGGAATGCTCTCGTTTTCAGTCTGGGATAGCCCTCGACGTGGTGACGTTCTCACAGCCCTTCCAGCAGGCACTCCAGGAGGCATTCCTCTGCAAATGGGAGTAGGCCTGCATGGGCACCTTGTCCATATCAGCACGCACATGTGCTTGTGTGTGTGTGTGTGTGTGTGTGCGCGCGCACGCCTGGGTATGGTTACCTACATGAGGCCTCCTGAGCCTTGGCATGTGCGGGCCTGTCCCTGGCAGAGACACAGAGGAAGAAAAGCATGTAGGCGTGTGTGCTCAGGGGCTCTGAGACCCCACAGGGCAGGAGGCGCCAGTCACACAATGTTGACGCAGCAGTGTGTGGCCGTGCCAGATACGGGGCAACAGCTCCAGGGAGAGAGGGAGGGGCAAATCAATAGGTGTAAACAAACCTGAATGGGGCATGAGTCCTTACAGAGAAACAGGTGCGCATATAATATACAGGGGACCAGAAACACTATGTAGAAAGCCTCTGTACAAATACACACCCATAGACATATTGCAGACAGCACAGGAATACAGATTGTCATGCCCCCCAGAACAGGTGTCTGGTGCACGGCAGGGAGGGCTCTCTGAGGAGACCCACCAGCACTTCCGGCAAACCCTCACACACACACACACACACACACACACACACACGTGTTTCTCACATAGCCTGCTGGGGGAAATGTACATGTATGTAAAAGCCAAACTAGGTTATATATACGTGTACGCTTCCACTCATGTAGGCTGACCCCCAAGGGTCACGACATGCACATGCCTGGGGTGACTAAGCCAGGAAGATTCGCTCTGCATCACGCTGGGCGTCTGCCGTGCCTGTGTACTTGGGCCTGTCCGAAGCCTCGGGGAATGAACGTCCGCACACTGGCAACCTCTCTGCTTGTAGCAGACACAGGGGAGGGGGCGTCAGTGGAAGAAGTGCTATTGCATTAGATTCAAACACAGAACTCCATGTACACAAATTATGTGCCCACAGATTGAATGTGGACACACACATGCGCGCACACACACACTTATTCACAGAGGACAGAGCGGGGCTTGGTGGGCTGTTGTGCTACACCCAGCCGCAGTCTACACAACAACCGAGTGAGGAGGGGAAGCTCAGACAACACACAGACTCGAGGTGGGATCAGGAAGGCTGATGAGGTGCTTCTACACACGTCTACGAACATACACACACACACTGGGGTGTCCACTCGTCTCGAGCGTGTGCCGGCGGCATGCATGTTGGAGTGCATGTGTAATCACGCCTGCTGCTATTTATGTGCGGGGGCGGGGGTGGTCCATGGCGCAGTAAGGTCCAAGGACTCCAGGGTCTGATGTGGGGGTAAAGGGGAGGGCTACCTGGGTCTGTCTTGGGTGTGGGCCTGGAGCAGGGGATGGAGTGAAAGGGGCAGTGGGGGTATTGCTCCCGATGTGGTTGGGGAAGGGTCTGGGAGAGACAGGGGTGGGGGGCCTACAAGCCCAGCGTCCCCCCAATGGATGACGCCAAGACCACCCCCAGCACCACACAGCAAATGATGATCATGATTTTCTTCTGTCGGCAGAAAGGGCAATGGGACAGGAGAAGGAGAAAGAGAGAGACAAAGATTAAGACAGACAGTGAGAGAAAGAGACAGGAAGATGGGGGAGGAGGGTATGAGGAAAAAGAAAAGGGGAGAGAAAACAGAAAAAGGAAGAGGTCAGAGCCGGAGATAAGGCCTTCCAGGGGATTTCATCACTTGTCTCAGCTCTGGCCTGAACCCAGCCTGGCCCACCCAGCTCCAACCCTCCTGCCCCCCAGGCCCATCCCCCCTGGCTCACCCTTCGGGCCTTGCTCTGATATCTCACAGCTTTCTTGGTGTCTGACACAGCTCGCTCCACATAGTCCACGGAATGTTCCACGTTGTACTCAATTCGGTCAATCATCTCGCCCTGCAGAGGGGATGTTCACGGGGAGGGGTGGGGCTGGGCTGGAAGAGGGGTTGGGGGAGGCTCCACATGGTGTGTGTGGGGGGCAGAGGCAGTACCTGGCTTTCCACAAGCATGGCCATGTCCACAAACATGTCATGCAGCTCGCGGATGCTGGTTTCCAGTTTGATGATCTCGTTGTGCCTTGTCTCAATCTCATTCAGTGCCTGCTTCGTCATCTGTGAGTCCATTTTGATCTAGGGCGATGGCGCGGGGGGGGGGGCAGTGAGGGGAGCGGAAGACCACATGTCACTCCCATAAGAGCTCAGAGTCTGCAGCCAGAGCATCTGGGTTCAGATCTGGCTGTCCTTCACTAGCTATAATGGTGGGAAATTTTTTAAACTTCTCTGGGCCCTAGTTTCCCCACCTAGAAACATGGACACTAATAGTGGCCTCCCCACGGTGCTGTGAAGATTAAATGAGTTAATATGTGTCCGCTGATCAGAATAGTACCTGGCACACAGGAAGCATTAAAGACAAGTTTGTTAAATTACAGGAAGTAAAGCTTGTCCCTAGCTCACTACCTCAGCCCGGGGCTAACTGTACCACACATGCCAGGAAGCCTCGGCAAGGGAGGCAGGGCTCCAGGGCCCCCACTAGTGTGGGGGCTCCTGTCTGGTCAAAGGCAGATAGGAAAATGGAAGAAGACACAGCAGGGGGAGAGGGAGCAGCAAGCAGAAAAGGGAGCCCAGATGAGAAGGCAGGGTGCCCACAAGTCCCCTGGAGCCCCCACGACACGAGATGGGGGGAAATCATACAGGAGTGCACCACAGCCTCAAGAGTCAGTGGGAGAGAGACCCCCAACACACAATTAGATACACCTGCTCCCCACAAATGCCTGGCCCAAGCCAGGCCACTCACTTCCCAGAGCACTCATTGTTTAGACCACGTTCAGGCACTTCTGTGCTCTAAAACCGGCCAGGGCTCCTCACAGGCCGCGTGCCTTTACCTTAGTGGTCCAGGACTGGGCTCCCTTTCTGCCCTCATCTTCTACACAAGAGCCAGAACCATCCGGGGGCTGTTTGGCAAGTGGTCCACCTTCCTTGTCTTTGTCCAGTCTGTTCCCTTTGTCCAGAGCAGGGGTGTCAAACTCTTTTTCACCAGGGGCCACATCGGCCTCCCAGTTGCCTTCAAAGGGCCGAAATAATTTTAGGACTGTATAAACGTAACTACTCCTTCTACTCCCTCACAGTTAAGGAGTTGAATTACATTCAGCCTTTTGAAGGCAACTGCGAGGCTGATGTGGCCCCTGGTGAAAATGAGTTCGGCACCCCTGGTCTAGAGTGTCCTCTGCTCATCTCCCCAAGTCAAATAAATGCACAACTTGTCTCTTAGGGCACAACTCAATGCCACTTCCCAGGAAACCTTCTCGGACTCTAGAAGTTAATTTTAACCACTACCTCCGGGCTAGTCTGCATCTTGAACAGCCCTTGCGCACAGCACCAACCACTCTGTGCTGTGATGGTGGGCTAATTGGCAGGGATCAGCTCTGCCCTCTTAGAACTGTTCACCAGGTTCCCTCCATTCTCAGACAGACAGACAGACAGACAGCCTGGGGAGAGCTGTTTTAGACAGCTCCGGGCTAACTGCCCACAATCAATTTGCTCAAAACTAATTTAACAAATAACAATGATCTAAGTAACAATATGCTAGACGGCCACTGAACATACCCTAGTCCTGGTCTAGAAACCTAAACCACAGCCATTCCACCGCCAGAAGCATAAACAGAGAGACAGCACTGGGCAGACTAGAGTAAAACCGAACAAAGAGAAAGAAGAACCACAGCTGGGGAAGCCCATCCATTCGCATGTAAAATGACAAGAGTGGAACACAGTGCAAAATTAAAACAGGGGCTTTTTTTGCCCTGGCTGGACTGGCTCAGTGGATTGAATGCCAGCCTGTGAACCAGAAGGTCATTGGTTCAATTCCCGGTCAGGGCACGTGCCTTGGCTGTGGGCTGGGTCCCTGGTTGGGGGCAGCTGGGGGTGTTGGAGAGGAAACTGATGATCGATGTATCTCTCGTAGGTTGAGGTTTCTCTCTCTCTCTTTCTCTCTCCCTTCCCCCCTCTCTACAAGTAAATAAAATCTTTTTTTTTTAAAAAGGGCTTTCTAAAAAAATCTTCAAAAGATAGGGAAATTAGTCATTGGGTGAAATAACCTGCTTCAGTAAGGTTATCTTAGTACTGAAAAGTTCTAACTCTAAACCTAGACCAGGGATTCAGATAGACTGGCCCCAGCTCTATGACCTCAGCAAGTTATTTAACTTCTTTGTGCAAACTTTTCTCATCTGTGAAAGTGGGTCCCTCAGAGGGTTGTGGTGAGGATTAAATGAAGTTAGCAGGTAAATATTAATATGTAAAGTGCTTAAAACAGTGCCTGGCACACTACTGTGCCATTTTTAGGGGGGTGGCTTCCTGCTCCGTCTGCCCTCACGGAATTCCCCAGTTACAGATCCAGGCTTTCCCCTGCCGGTTATTCCAGGGTGGATTTAGGACCTTGGGTTTAACCTAAGCTTGGGGTGGAGAGGCAAATGCCTTCCAAAAACAGGGCCCATCCCCACCCACGGCTCACATCATCGGTGAAGATGGCCAACTTCCCACTCTCCAGCATGTCTTCCAGTTCTTCGTTGGTTGTGGTCCTTCCGGCTGTGGAAAGGAAGGACTCGGTGCTCAGGGACTGGGCCGGCCTAGGGGCCCGAGGCGGTGGGACGGGGCAGGGACCCGGAAGACCACCCTTCCACCGAGCCTTAGGCCGGGTGTCCCGTCCACGGAGTGGAAGGGCCCGGAAGGGGACTTGGGTGGGCCTGGGGAGTTCGGAGGGGAGGCACTCGTACTGATCTCCAGCTGCCGCTGGATCCGGTCCTTGCAGCGGTCCCGGTACTTGGACTGGGTCGCATTGTATTCGGTCATTACTTCCACGAACTTCCGGGAAAGTGTGGAGTGCTGGGATGGGGATAACACATCAGGAGGCAGGGAGCAGAGACCAAAGAGGTGAATCGTTAGTGCAGGGATGGGGTGGAGAGAAGGGGTGATCGCGCTTCGACCCCATCCCCTCAGGAGTGCACAGTCTTCTAGCGCCTGTTTCTGTGCCACCGCCAAACCGCTGCCGCAGCGGCCAGCTCACCGCCACGTGACCCGTACACGCCCTTCGCTATAACCCCGCCCCTTGGGCCGGCCCGGCACTCAAGCTGCGCTCCGGCCCGCCCATCACCAACCAGCAGGATTCCTCCTGCTCCAGCAAGGTCCCGCCCCGGCCGGGTCGCTGCCTCCTACCTGGGTCTTGCGGATTCGCAGGTCTGCGGAGGAACGATTTAGCCCCTCCTCCTGTTCGATGCTTTGCTCGATCGCTGCAGGAGAGAGGATGCTTTGACCGGCGGGAGACCCGGGGTGTATGGGGCGGGGGTCCGGGAGGTGTGAAGGGCTGACACCCCGGGGCAGGTCCCGGACCTGTCACGCCCGTGGCGAGGGCAGACAGTAAAGGATCCAGGGTGAAGGGAAGGAGGCCGGAGAGTAAAGGGACAGACCTTGGAGGGAGTCAGAAAAGCAGGTAGGAAGGAGATTGAGGGTCGGCGAGTAACCAGACGGAAGGGGGCTATTTGTTCTTTCTGAAGCTTGGGTCTTGGAAAGTCCCACAGCTGTGACTGTGGCCCAGTGTCTCGAGGGGGTGTGGGCTCAGTCCATTGTGAAGGTCAGGGAACTACACTTTCTATATCCTCTGGAAAGGGACAAGAACCCATCCTGGGATTCTTCTGGTGGAAGGCAAGCACTTCATGTGGGTCGGGTTCTAGTGATCACCCCTTCCTTGGAAAATTCTAGGGTGAATGGATGGACGTTCCAACAGAAAAAAAAATAGCTTTCCCTGTGCCTGACAAGATGATCCCTGTTCCTGGGAATTCCCACTTCTACAGGATGTTCTGGGAAAGCGCACAGATTAACTGGGGTGTCTGCTTCTGGATCATGCACTCCTGACACTTACTCAGATTTTCTAAAAAAGACCTTGTGGTAAGATTTACTGTGCTCAGAAAATGCAGCAGGGATGAATCACCAGCAAGTCCTCTCAGGCCTGGAAGGGCCTCTCGCCATTCCTGAGAACATCACTTCCCTGCTCTGCTGGCAGCAGAGGAGATGCGGGGCTGGATGCCCCCCACCCCAGTGCTCCCTGCCAGCAAAGCAGGGCAGTGACCGAGGGGGAGCTTTGGCCCATTTGCTGCAGGGAAAGCACAGGAACTTACACCCAGGGATGGCGGAGTCTCTGGACCAGACTGGGATCCTATCATCAGACCTCAACTAGGGCCTGGCCCCAGAGGAAGGCGTCCTTTACATGGTCTCACTGATTTCTTACAACAGTCCTGGGACTTAGTTGCTTTCCCTAGTTTCTTTCTTGATCTATTCCTGAACCCCTCAGCAGTGTCCAACCTGTGGCCACTAGGCCACGTGCAGCCCGGGATGGCAATGAATGGGGCCCAATACAAAATTGTAAATTTACTTAAAACATCATAGGATTTTTTTTGTGATTAGGAGTCACAATATATTTAATATGGGGCCTAAGACAACTGTTCTTCATCCAGTGTGGCCCACAGACGCTGAAAGGTTGGATGCCCCTGCCAGAGCCCTCCTCATAGTCTAATAGAGAGACTGCTAAGGTCGGAGCTTGACAGGCCCAAAGAAACAAGAGCCCAGGGGTTTTACAGCTGTGTTCCATGGAACCCTGCTTCTGAGAAGGAACTTCAGGGGCTGCTGACAGGAGTGAAGAGGAAGCCCTGGGCCTCCCAGTCCCAGTTCAACCAGAATAGCCTGACTTTTATGTGCTATGTATAGTGGAGTTCTGTGTAAGATTTCATTAGGGGGGAAATGGATTTTTGTTACTGACCACCCCCCTGAAAAGCCAGCTTTGAAATTACTTCTATTTTTCTTACTGTACTAATGAGGAAGCTGAGGGTAGGGACTTGTCCAGACTGAGCTGTTGATGTAAGTTGGACTCCCTCTGCCTGGATTTGCACTTAATGTGCTCCCAGCTAGGTCGTTTCCTCTCCAGCACACTCTCCTGAGTGCAAAGGGTTCGTTTTTACAGATCAGCGCTAGAGGCTGACACATGGCCTCCTGTAGAGTCCAGGAGGGCATCGAGTCTCTGTCCTCATGTCCCTGGACCAAGGTCAGAGCACACAGGCCCTGGCATCTGGCATGCTTCCTTTTCCCCAAAGCCCAGTAGCGTGGCTTGGACAGAGTGGGTGCTTGGTAAATGTTTTCTGCTGCTGAATTACCATGAGCACACATATTAGCATCACGGTAACACTACTATTCCCCTGGCATCAGCAGACAAGGAGGTTCCCAACCCACAGTGCTTTGGGGGAAGGTGGTTATTACCAGCACCCAAGTCCCCAAATTAGAGAGAATGCATGAGCATTTGGCAAGTTCCTCCTGAAATCTTGCCAGCCCCTGATGTCAGCCACACAGTCCAATCTGTCCTGAGCTGAGGACACCAATTCAGAAGCATTTGCTTAACCCACCTACTGGGTGCTTAGCACTGTGCCTGGCACCTGTTCTGAAGAAATGAGGCCTTAATGACACTAAAGCCACTCGGGAGACTATATTTTTCTGACAGATCCTCATGCTGTTGGAACCGGCAGAGCTCAAATGTAATCTGGACAGACAGCCTCCTCTTCCTTGTGTCCCTGTCATGTATCTGCCTCCAGAGAATCTGGAGCAAGAAGGAGAACTGGGGCTTTGGGCTTTCTCACTGTGTGCGCATCCAGCTCCTAGAAAAGTCTGTGGACGTTCCTGATAGAAAGGCTTGTTTGGGCCACTGGAAGGTCCAGCTCTTTCTCTCCCTAGTCAGGGGACTGCAGTCCTCACCTTTCAATTTGGACCGAACCTTGTTGGCCGTCTTCTTGATGTCTGCAGTGAGGTCCTCCAGCTCCTGTTTGGTCTCTGAGGAGGGGGCCGGGATGGGTAATAAGTCCGGGTGGACCCCAGACTGCCTCTGCCCCAGCCCACAGCTACCCCACAGCGGCACTCACTCTCGTCTGGGTTGGGGGCGGCCAGGATGGCGCTGTGCTGTTTTTTCACTTGCTCCACATCCTCTGACAGCTTCTCAATGCAGCCCCGGATCTCTTCCACCTGGGACAGCAAATCGGCTCTACCCAGCCAAGTCCTCAGGCCAGGCAAGGGCATCCACAGGGCTCAGTCAGGGTTCAGGGAAGTGGGCTAGACCCAGAGGGACTGGTAAAAGGCCAAGGGGTGTAGGAATAGAGAGCGGGGGGTGGAGGAAGAGTTGATGGCTGGGGTACTGGAGTCTCAGTTACCTGCTCAAAGAACTCGTCCATGAAGTGGTCCCGATCCACGTGGACCACCTCTTCCTCATCATCACTGTCTTTTGCCTGGGAGGAAAAGAAAGGTGTAGGTCACAAGCAGCTCCCACCCTGGTCCTGCTGCTCCCCGTTCTAGGTTCAGAGCAGGGGTCTTGGGAGGGGTCACATGTAGGGTACATGGCAAGGACCCCGGGCAGTCAGCATGAACACTGGATGTCTTGTGGAACAGAGTATTGGAGGCCAGACAGCTGACAGCCCAAAGACACCTTGCAAGGAATTAGCAAAAAGTCCCCCTTTTGGGGGTGGATGTGACCCTGTGAATGCAGTCACCCTGGAGGCAGGTGGCGCTCAAGACAGCTGCTATTAACCAACCAGTATGAGAGTATTTCAATATTGTAACTACCAGGTAAATGTCAGCCTTGCAGTAGCTGTCCCTGGTTCTGAGAAGACGTCTGGGCTGGAGTCCCAGGAGCCTGACCCTCCTCACCATTCCCTGGCCGCACCAGCCCAGGCCTCACTTTGCTCCCCTCCTCTTCCCCTCCAGCCACGTCCCCTGTGCAAGGTCAATTCGCTGTCAGCTCTGGGCAGCATCAGGTTGAGCAAGCACAGTCGGGCCCAGTAAGGGCTGGAGGAGACACAAAGAGCACCCCGATCTTGCTTGCTCCTTGCGTCTTTCTCCTCCTGCCTACCTGCACCCCCTCAGCTTGCTCTGCCCCTCGCCGCCCCCGCTGCCTCTGACTCTCCTCAGTGTATTCACTTGCTTTCATCCAGCCTCTTCCAACTTCACACCCACCTACTCTCACTTGCTTGGATTTCCTAGTTGCAACTTGCAGCGGCTCAGCCCTCCACCCCCAGGGCTCAGAGACACAAAGGGATTCACCCACCCACGCCTCCACAAAGACACAGACCAGTGACACAGACAGACGAGCTGACACACAAGGCGCACGGAGAGATGCCCCGCCAATACCCGCGGAGATACCCCGACATGCTGACATGCAGCCGCACACAGACCCACGGCAGCGCTGCATGCTGATACGTGTGGACGTATCACCTGCCCCCCAGGGACATTTGGGAGGGCTCTCTGAGCCACTTCTCCCAGCCTCTCAGAGCCTCAGGTCTGCACACTCATTTGGAGCTGGGGAAAAGGAGAGGGGGGCAGGAGGCCCCCCCCAACCCTGCACACTTCTGATTCTAGATGTCCCTGCTCGGGACAGAAGTCTGAGGATAAAAGCTGAGCTCTTCAAGCTTAATTACATCTGGAGCCCAGTCAGCTCCAATGGAAATTTAAACACAGTTCACCTTGATCTCCAGAAAGAACCCACCCAAAACTCAGAGAATCTAAGTACCATAACCTGAATGAAGTTAAGACAGGGTTCAAAAAGTGTCTGCCCGGGGTACAGCCAGTTGGGATCTAAAAAGAGCTCACGTGGAACCTCAACAGGGTCCGAGCAGCCTGCAGGCAGGACCTGCCAGAAACCAGACAGGCTCAGACCAAACCGGACTCGGCATAAACAGGCCCCAGACAGCTCAGATCGAACCTAGACAGAGCCAGATGGGACCTAGATGCAACACAGACAGCCAACTGAACTTGGAGTCAGCAGAGTCCCGGCAGCACTGGAAAGAACCTGCAAGCCCAGAGAAGACTCAGCAGGATACTCCTAAAGCCCCCCTAGCTTTCCACCCAAGCCCCGCCCCCAAACTCCAGGAATTCTCTCCACGGATGCTGGGCCCCACACCACATCAGAAAGTGTGTTCAGTGTTTACATTTAATTCCTAGACAATCTCAACCCAAATGGGGAAAGGGAGGTTCCTCCGTCTTTCTCCACAGTTGCCTCAGAAGTAGGGGTGGCACCAGGTAGGGCTTGGGGACTCCGATGGGACTTCTCAAGCCTCCACCTAACCACCCTGATAGACCTCAGTCTTTAAAGACTCTGAGATGCTCCGCTCATCTCTGAGGAACCAGGGGCCTTCCCTGGTGCTGCCCTTCAGGGACTCCTCCTCCTGGCTCCAAAAGCCAGTCCCCTGCACCTTCTCTGCCTCCAAGTACTCAACTCAGCCCTGCTGCCCACAGGTCAGGAGCCTCTCACCTTCCTGTTCTCCGTCTCTTTCCCTTCCCCATTCTGACTTCGGGCTTCCCGAAGTCTAATATCCTTCTCTCCTGTTGGTCCCAGAGCCAGTTTCTTAGATTCTGCCCTCAGGCACCTGTCCTTGAGACAGGAAGAAAGGTAGAGGACCCAAGACCTATTTGGTGTAATAATTACAGAGCTTAGCGTTAACAGTCCTCTACAGTTCACAAGCACTTCTGCATCTATAATACTGCCCTTTTTTTTTCAGTCCTCATCCAAGGACATGCCCATTGATTTTAGAGTAAGGAAAGGATATAGAGATGAGAGAGAGGGAGAGAGAAAGAGAGAGAGAGAAATCTATCTGTTGCCTCCCGTATGTGCCCGGACCAGGGATTGAACCTGCAACCCTTTAGGTGCACAGGACGACACTCCAACCTACTGAGCCACCTGGCCAGGGCGTCTATAATTCCTTTTGATCCTTACCACCATACACCTGACAAGAAAGGCAGAGCAAAACAAATTATCACTGTCCCCATTCCATAGATGAGGGAACAGGAAGTCAAAAGAAAACAAGAAAAGTGACTTTCCAGAGGGCACTGAGGCTGAAAGGAGCAGGGAGACCACAGCCCCTCCCACGGCCAGAGACCAGGCCGCCTCCTTCCGGGAAGTCTGCGCCAGCCACCTCCCCTCTCGGTTCCTGCTAATTAATGCCCAGTCTGGGCGAGGCTCTGTGCCTGAAAGCCTGGCCAAATTTTATCATTTAACAGCACTTCTACATAGACCTTGCCTTCTTGTTATCTTATTTAATCTTCGTTAAAACTCTATGAGGGGCCTGACCAGTGTGGCTCAGTGGGCATCGTCCCACGGGCCAAAAAGTCACTGGTCTGACTTCCGGTCAGGGCGCGTGCCTGGGCGGTGGGCCAGGACCTGGCCGCTGGGGGCGCACAAGAGGCAGCGGATCAATGTTTCTCTCCCTCTCTTCCCCCCCCACCGCTTTCCCTCTCTCTAAAAAGTAAAAATAAAATAAAATAAACCCTCTATCAGGACCATTGACCAACATAATTGTAATTATGGCAACCACTTACATAGCCTGTTAGGGATACCGTTCTATGCACTCTGCATAGACTTATCCATTTAATTCTTACACATGACCCCCTGAGGTAGATATTATTATAGCCTCCTTTTATACATAGAGAAACTGAGGCACAGAGAGGCTAAAGAACTTGCCCAAGTCAGCAGCCAGAAGGCCACATCGGACTTCTCCCTTCTGAGTCTCGGCCCACTGAATGGCAGTAACATCGACCCCACATGGTGGGTTGGAGGCCAACGAGCCCCAGGAAGAAAAGTGCCTGATGGTGCCAGAGTGAGAATTAATGCTTGGTGAGGGCTGGCTATCACTGCCTCCCCTCGCCTGTCACAGATGAGGACACAGGCTCGGGGAAGTTGTTGGCCTAAGGCTTTGCAGCAATAAGGCCAGAGGTGGCACCTAAACTGTCCGGTGCTAAATCCCAGGTTCTTTCCCCCCCACCCTTCTATTCCTGGCCTCACAGAGTCCCTTCTGCTCTGTCCTCACTACTGCTGGACTCCTGTGGCCAGGACAGAAACACAGCAAGAGGCGGCTGGCTGCCAGGAGATCTCACCCGGGAAGGCAGGCAGGCATTGCAGCCTCCGCTTGGCTCTCTGTGCGACCCCAGGGGACTCTCAGCCCCTTCTGGGCCCCAGTTCAGCTGGGAAATGGGTGGGCTGTGCTCATCAAGGGCCCCCACTGCTCTGAGGCATACATGTTTAATAATGAGCACAGCCTCTATTTCCAGAAGAAGTTGGCCAAAAAGAAAGCCAACTGTGGGCAAATTAGATGACCTAGGAGAAGATGATCAAATGTGCCTGATCCCCTCTATGAACAATTCAAGCCTGTTTCCTCATGTGAAAAATGAAGAAGAGAAGAATTATACGCATCTAACACATACGTACTGATGACCATGAGTTCGGCCCTGTTACAAGTGTTGTGAATTTCTTTTTTAATCCTTACAGCCATCCCATGAAGTAGATACTATCTTTATTCCCATTTGACAGATGAGGAAACTGAGGCGAAGTGAGATTAAATAACTTGCCCAAGATTACACAGCTTATGGGTGCTGAGAGAGCGGTGTCCGGACTTGAACCCAGGCACTCCACTCTTTAGCGCTCACAATCCCTCACGTGTTTTCGAGGATTGAATGAGAGAGAGAGAAGATCCCGGGCACCTTCTGGAACCACCTTAGAAATAGGGAATCATATCCAAGCCTCCTTCCCCACCTGAAACACCCAGGGCCCTCCGCGTGTTAGTGGCAGGAGATTACACAGACAGACACGTCCATGGAAGGAGGAGAGGGACGATGGGAGCCAGCAAGTCAGCGATCGCAGAGACAGACGGTGAGAGGGTGACTAAAACACAGGCGGAGAGAGACTGGAATTTGGTGATAGAAGAGTCACAGTGTGTGTGTGTACAAGGTCCATGTATACACACGTGCTCACATGTGCTCCTCAGGGGTGCAAGCATCGCTTGATCTAGAGGTAGCGGCTGGTCTCCACGGGAACCCCCTTCCATCCATCCGTCTCCCTGACCTGGGCCTCTCCTCTTCCAGCAGCCAGCATGACCTCACTCCCCTGCCTTCCCTGCCTTACTACTTATTCTCTTCCTCATCCTCCTTCTGCCCCACTGAGTCATTCATTCATCTAACAAGTATGTATGATCTGTGCCGAGTTCTCTTGCACGTGGCTGCTGAGAAAAGTGGTGAGCAATACAGGAAGAAGGTCCTGCGGCCAAAGAGTGGACATCCCAGTGCAGGAGACAGACAATGAAAAATGAACAACAATTCCGGATCGTGCTAAATAGCAGGAGGGAGATAAACCAGGAGACGTGATGGAAACAAGTGACAAGCGCTGCTTTACACAGGATGGCCAGGGAGGCCCTTTCTGGGGGCTTGACACCTGAATTAAGTCCTGTAGGAGTCAACTGTGCTACAGTCTGGGGAACGCAGGATTCAAGGCAGAGGGGATAATATTCAAAACAGAGGGACCAGCATTCTGGGCAGAGGGAACAAGTGCAAAAGTCCTCAAAAGCAGGGGTGAACTTGCTGTGTTTGAACAGCAGACACAAGCCCGGTGCAGCTGGCTGGTACCAATTCATCATCCGGGGCTCCCTGGTCCCTGCCTCCTCTTGTGCAAACTGGGCCACTCTTTCCTTGTTATTTCAAGTCTGCCTTTCCAAATCCCCTATGGTGCTGGACCATACCTGTGTGCCACACATCTGACTCAGTCCCTGCCCTCAGGGTGCAGGTTGTCCTGTGACAGTCCCCACTTCCCACCAGGCCTCAGAGTCACGCCCCTCTCACCGCAGGCCTCACCTTTCCCCACTTCCCAGTCTCCCCACCTCCTTTGTCTCCTGCCTCCCCACTCCACAGCCGCCCCACAGGCTTTAGCCCACAATGCGTCTCCTTGCGTTGCTCTCTCCCACAAGCCTTCTCTACCTCAGGTGCTCCCCTTCCTCTCTTCTTGGGCCCCGTCCCTGGCCCCGGTACTTGGATCCTGGGGTGCCAATGCAGTCGACTAACTCCAATCTCAGGCTCTACTTCAGCCCAGCACCTCCCAGTTCCCAACCAAACGTGTCTGGCGAACTGGAAACAGAAAACCCTGGTTTGACCCTGCGTCTGCCATAATAGATGTGTGACCTTGAGCAAGTCGGGTTACCTCTGTGGCCCTCAATTCTCTCTAAAGTAAATTACAGTCACACATCCCCGGAGTTCAAGAGAAGTTAGTTTGCTGTAGAATAACACAGACACATAGAGCATTGCTGGGTACCAGGCCTTCTTCTGGGTACTTTTTGCATAGCAACTAATTTCAGCCCTTGGGATAACTCGGCAAACTGTTATCCTAAATTCACACATGAAGAAACTGAGAACCAGAGAGGTTAGGCAACTTACCCAGGCCACATAGGAAGCAGCAAAGCTAATATTTGAACCCAGACAGTCTGACTCCCAAATCTGTGCCCTCACCTGCTATGTGATAAACCTGTCTGAGAAGCCCTTGGGAACTCTAAAGTACTGTTGGAAAGACAATCGGGCCCGCTGGGCTGACATCACCTCCCACCACTGCCCCCCCCCATCCCTCTCAGCCTCTTAGAGAGTCCTTTCCCAGGTCTCCCACACCCTGCCCAGTCTCTCCCCCCGCTTCCCAGTCTCTCAGCTCTTCGCTCTTGCAGGGAGAAGACCCTCAGCAATCCTAGCACCTGGCAGCTTCTTCCCTCCCCAGCCACCCCTCCCAAACCTCCGGTTCTCCAGAGCTGTGACTAGCACCAGAGCCACCAGCATTCGCCCAGACCCCTTTACCCTCCGCACCACTTCCCACCTCTTCCACCTGGCTGCCCATCAGAGCCCCGCAGACAGGATTCCTCAGCTCTGGGCAGGGCCCCCTGACTCAGATGAGGATTCCCTTCCCCCGCCTCCTGCTCTGTCCCTTTGCCCTTCCTCCCTCCCTCTCTAATTCCACCCCCTCACCCCAACCCGCTCTCCATTTCTCTGGGTCTGGGACTCATGGATAGTCTTGGCAGCAGGGAATCTGGGTTCACACCTGGATTCCTCACTTGCTAGCTGTGTGACCTTGGGCGAGTTATTTAACCACTCTGGGCTTGAGGTTCCTCAACTCTGAAAGGAGGTAGTATCTCAGTCTACCTGCCTTCCCATGAGGCAGGTGAGGGCCTAAACGATGACAGATGGCGACCTGCCACGGATGAAGACTGCATCTGGAGAGAAGGGTAGTTAGGGCAGAGACAGAGCCAGCCTGCCTGGCTGCCTCTGATTAGCCACGGGAATTTGGTTAAGTTACTCAACCTCCCTGGGCCTCAGTTTCCTCGTCTATGAAATGGAATAAGACTAGTTTCAGCTTCCTAGGGTTGCCCTGACAATCAAAATAAGTGAGTGTGTATAAAACACTTAGAACAGTGTCTGGCACATGAGTGCTGGCTATCTTTATTATTGTAAGTTTACCTATTCGGTAAGTTTAATAAAGACATAAACCTTCAAAATTCCCTCCCTCATCCACCAATTCCTTCTTCCTTCCTTCCCACTTGCCAGCCGCCTTCCCCAGAGACAGCGAGCACTGGCCTCCAAACCCCTTCCTCTTGTCTTTCAGTAGCGGCCTCCTCCCCCACTCCAAAATCCAGGAGTTCTCCAACCACAATCCTTTACCCCCCATCCCACCCCCATCCCTGACTGTATTGAGACTTCGGTTTCAAAGGCCAAAAAAGCCAAGACACATGTCAACTTGGCAAAAGGAGAACCCAAGTTCCTGTCTGATTCTCCCACCCACTTGCTTGGTGACCTTGGGCAAGTTCCGGCCCATCTCTGAACCCCCGTTTCCCGATTGGCCAAATGGAGTAAGTTGGCTGGGCCGGCGCTTTATTAACCTAACACCACAGGACCCGAGCGCAGGGCAGGTTGTCAGCTCTGCCTCCCTGAAGCCCCAGGTCGTTTCTCCAAATGCCCCAGCATCCTCCCCACCAAAGGAACGTTCTCACCAAGGCCCCACTGCCCAGCCCCTCCAAGTGGCAGCCTTCACTGCAGACACCAGTGCCGCCCTCCTTCCTGTCACCCAAACACAACTTACTGCCTGGCCGGGCTCCTGGCGCCCGGCCTCCCCAGGCCTGCAGCTCGAGGGCCCACGTCCGCCAGCCCTGACTGCTCAGGGTACCCCAGTTCCCCGCGCAGAGCACAGTCCACGTCACACAGCCCGGTTCCGTGGCCCTGGGCCTGGAACCTCCTCCTCTTCTCTGCAACCCCACCTCCAACCTCTGGGGTCACCCCATCTCAGGCCCTGGCCCTCCGGCTGTCTCCTGAGGCACCCCTTCCATCGTTGAGTCTGAGGTGCCCCCTTCCCATGGAGGAGAGCAACACATGCGTGTGCACACGCACACACACCTCATCCACCGCCAGGTGCTGGCATCTCAGTGCCAACCTGTGCCCTTCCCGTATCACCCCCATCTCTGGTCCCGCTAGACTCAGCCCGGGGCTGACGGCACCCTGCAATTCCTTCTTAGCATTTACTCTTTCCCATCCTCAGATTAGATCCTAGGGGCCTCCTGGGAATGTGGGGTGTCCAAGACCCCTGAGACCTCTCCTGCCCCTTGTCTCTCACCAGCTTCCAACCCCTGCAGCCACTGTTCCCCCAAATGCAGGTTCACTGAAGCACATTATGTGCCTCCAGATATTGTGGCGCCCCTGCAACCAACCCCCAATCATCATTTGCCCCCACATTTCAGCACCTGCCCCACTCCACCCCCACGCGCTCCCGAAATAATGGGGTCCCTCCCCCCATTTTCCCACCCCCAAGCTTACACTCCGCAGCTCCTGGGTCCGATCCTTCATCCTGCGACGGCTCCTCCTCCGCCTCGTCCTACTGTCCCTGCTGCTGCTCCTACCTCTCGCCTCGGTGCTGGAGGCCGGGGGTCTGGGGGCGCTGGGGGGCAGAGCGGCTGAGGGAGGTGCTGCGGTCGGGGGCGGGGCCGGGGGCGGCGGGCAGAGAGCGGAGCAGGGGCACCGGCCTGGACCAGGCTCGGCTCTGCTGGGGCTGCGGTGGCGATGCGGCTGCGGCACAGGCTTGGATGGAGGGATGCGGGAGCCGAAGCGCGGGGGAGGGGGGTGGAGGGAGGTAAGGAGGAAGGGAGGGAGGGGGGAACCGGGAGGGGGCGGGGAGCAGGGGGCATGCGCAGCACCCGGGTCTGGGGGCGCCTGGGGGTTGTAGTCCGGGGGATGGGGACCCAGGAGAGGAGAACTGGAGAGTCCCAGAGGGAGTGGGTAAGGGCAGAGCCAGAGACAGGAAGAGATGTGGAGAGAGACAGAGGAGATGCCGCGGGGAGGCACAGAGATGCTGGGCGTAGGGAGTGGGGAGGTGGAACAGCAGCACGAGGAGGTAAGAGAATGAATATCCTGGGAGAGGTGCTGTGAATCCTCTGACACCGGGAGGTACAGATACATTTTATGTTTTGTCTCTGGGAGTCTCTGTGTGAGTCTGTGTACGACCACCTCTGTGTGTGTGTGTGTGTGTGTGTGTGTGTGTGTGTGTGTGTCCCTACAGGAGGCTCTTTGGACACTAGAAATAGCAAGACTGACCCTCTAGGTGGCTTTTGTGATGCAAGGAATCAGCCACACTTAGCTGAGAAGGACAAGAGATATGTTTGTCGAACAGCCTTCCCAACTTCAAGTGCAAGTCCCTGGGCACCAGGGGGTCTCGGAGCTCTCCTTGTCTACCTCTCCAGGCAGGCTGCTCACTACCTGACCAGAACTCCTGGCCTGTCTTTAGACGGCTCTGACTTAAAGTGGAAATTCGTCCGTATTGGGAGGGGAGTTCTGGTGCCCCTGACCACCCGGCACCCTGCAGCCCCCTCCTGGACGCCCACCTCTCCTCTCCCCAGCCCCACATCAACTCCTCCGCTCCTGCAGTGGGGCTTTGGCCCCAAGCAGGCCTTAAACCTGTTTCTGTCAAGTAACCAGTGACCTCTTTGATATCAAATCCATCAACATTTGTCCGGCCTTATCCTCCATGACATTTCAGGGACTCTAATGTGACTCTAATGACCTCTCTCTTCTTTCAATCCTTGCCTTCTTGGTTCCCAGTCTGCCTCCTGTCTCTACACCCTGCCCCCCAAAAGCCCTCTGGGTGTTGTTTCCCAGTTCCTCACAGACCCCCTCCTCTTCCCACAACCCTTCCACAGCAGGGTTCCCTGGGCCCGATCCCAGGTTCTCTTCTTTCTTTACCCTCCAGCCTCCCCACATTCAGCCGTCTGTACATGTCTATGGTGTCCACACCTATACCTGCAACTCAAAGGCAGCACCTACTGTGTGCCCGAGCACCAAGCTGGGCACCAAGGGCACAGAGACAAAAGATGTGATCAGAGCCATAAGTAGAACCATAACTGTAGTGAGTGAGTCCAAGGCTCTGATGTTGGAACTGCCCCAGCTGTGGAGGCCTCGCCTTCCCCCATTGTGCTCCTTCCTGTATTTTCTGCCGGAGATGGCACCTCCATCCACCCTGACGCTCAGCGCAAACAGAAAGCTGCTCTTGGAGCCTCCCCTTATCCATGACCATCCATTATGTCCAGGTACAATGCTGAGCAATTTACATAATCTTCCCAGCTCCAGAGCAGCTACTGCTGTTGTCAGGACTGTACAGATTAGGAAACTGAGGCTTAGGATGGTTACGTAATGAATCCAAGTTCACAAAGTTAGTAAAGAGTAGGACTCGGGCTCTCCCCTGCATTATGTGATTTTAAAGCCCATTCTTGGGAAACCACGGTGTTATATACAGCTTCTCCCGCAGTGGCCAGGTCCAGAGCTGCCTCCTGGGTCCTTCCCATCCGCACCCCCTTGGGGCAGTCTAGGTCCTCATCTGCCTTCACCTGGACCATCAGAACAGCCTCCTCTCTGGTCTTGTCACCTGTAGCCCCTTTCCTTCATGTCCATCTTTCTCCACAACCACTAGTGTGGTTGCCCCCCCCCCCAAACCAGTGTGATATCAGTCCCCTGCACCACGCCCCGACTGCCTCCTGATTACACTCAGTAGCTGCTCTGGCATTTGAATCACACCACCATGACCTCACTTCTACTGCTGCCTTCCCTGTGCCACCAATGTGAGGCCTTAACGACACTGAAGAAGCACAGATCCCAAAAACCTTGGAGTCCTTCATTGTGCCATTTCCTCTGCCTGGCACATTGTTTCATCCCTTCTCTGAAGGTCATTTTCAAGGCCCAGTTCAGGCCTCTCCCTGAAGTCCAGGCAGACAATGTTCTGAGGTGTGGGCTGAGTCTACTTCCCCACTAGACCAGACTGGGTCTGATTCATGTCTGCCTCTCCCCAGCAACCAGCACAAGGTCAGGTACAAAGTAGGTGTTCACTAAAAATCTAAGTGACTAGCTCTGGCTGGTGTGGCTCAGTGGATTGAGTACCGGCCCGCAAACCAAAGGGGCACCAGTTCAATTCCCAGTCAGGGCACAAGCCTGGATTATGGGCCAGGTCCCCAGTAGGGGGCGCACAAGAGGCCACCACACACTGATGTTTCTCTCCCTCTGTTTCTCCCTCCCTTCCCCTCTCTAAAAATAAATAAATAATTATTTTAAAAAAAATCTAAATGACTAAATGAGTCAGCGAATGCCATATTCCTTTACACCTTTACCCAGGAATAAAGACAAAGAAAACAATCTCCATGAAGGTGAGTATTTAAATTTGTTTTTTAAAAGACATGTTTATCGATTTGAGACAGAGACAGAGAAACATCAATGTGAGAGAGAAACATTGGTCAGTTGCCTCCCACACGCACCCCCGCTGGTGATCAAACCCACAACCTAGGTGTGTGCCCCGACTGGGAATCCAACCCTTAACCTTTTGGTGCACAGGACAATACTCCAACCAACTGAGCCATACCAGCCAGGGCAAAGGTTGGGATTTTTGTTTGTTTTGTTTATTTCTGGTTCTCCAGTATCACTGTGGCACCTGGCACATGGTAGGTGCTCAATAAATGCATACTTATTAAATGAATGTATCAGTGAAAGGTGTGAACTCAAATTTGGTTACAGTTCTAAAGGTAGACACAGGTGCACAACACACGATGCAAGGACCATGGTGACTCCTCTCATTGCTCAGTGATTTTGATCTCACCACATCCATGATCCCTTGAAGGATTCCCCGTAACTCTATCAGGTGAGTTGCTGGAACTGCACACCCACCTCCTGTGCAGTCTCCTTGCCTGACTGGTCTTTCTAAAGCATCAGTATAACCAGGCCAGCCTCTGTGGAAAACCTTCCCAGTTCCCTCGGCTCTGACTTCCTAATCTGACTGCACACTTTCACCACACCATCATCCCTCGTGTTCTCTGATTCCAGTCCCGAGCTGTCCCTGCATTTCCCCACTTCCATGTGTTTCCTCATGTTGTTCCTGATCCCTGAACACCCCATCCTCTCATATTCCCAGTGCAACACCTACTCTTCTTTTTATTGATTGATTGATTTTATTTTTTTTAAATATTTTATTTATTTATCTTTGGAAGGAGAGAGGGAGAGAAACATCAATGTATGGTTGCATTTCGTGCGTCCCCTGCTGGGAACTGACCAGCAGGGAACCGGCCTGCAACCCAGGCATGTGCCCTGACTGGGAATCGAACCGCGATTGTCTGGTTCGCAGGCCCGTGCTCGATCCACTGAGCTACACCAGCCAGGGCTTGATTGATTGATTTTAGAGAGACAGGAAGGGGGCGAGAGAGAGCCAGCAGGAGAGAGAGAAACACTGACCTGTTGTTCTACTTATTCACGCATTCATTGGTTGCTTCTTATGTATGCCCTGACCGTGGATTGAACCTGCAACCTTGCATATCAGGACAATGCTCTGACCAACTGAGCCACACAGCCAGGGCCAAGGCGAAATCTTGGTTTTTAAGAATCACCTCAGGCAATTCTTTTTAAAAAATATTTCATTTATTTTTTAGAGAGAGGAGAAAGGAGGAAAAAAGAGAGGGAGAGAATAATTTATGTGTGAGAGAAACATCGATAAATTGCCTCTCACATACCCTCAGCTGGGGACCTGGCCCACAAGCCAGACAGGTGCCCTGACTGGGAATCGAACCAGTGACCTTTGGTTCACAGGCCAGCACTCAATCTACTAAAGCCACACCAGCCAGGGCTCACCTCTGGCAATTTATATTTTCAGTCAAGTATGGGAGCCACAGTTTATCAGGTAGGCAAGGCTAAGGCTAGGTTATGCTGGGTAAGAAATATCCTCCCAATCTCCGTGACTCAACACAGCAAAGCTCTATTTCTGTAGCAGTTGGGGTTACCTTCCAGAGTACCTGTCCTTCAAAGAAGACACAGTGCTTCAGTGGGGAAATCTATACACAGTTTATTAACATGCTGGACTTTGATCGCCTCATATTCAAGGACCCCATCTCATTAATCTCTGCCTCCTCATGGTACCTGGCATAGGACCTATGACCCTTGCTGTGCTCAGGAACAAAATAAAGAATACCCACGCGAGCTATTCATCCATTACCCTGTACTTATTGAGGCCCTACTCTTTGTACCAGGATTATGCTCTAGTGCTAGAGACACAGTGGTGAGCAAAACAGACATCAACCTGCCCCGTGGAGCCAGTAACCTAATTTCTCTAAGCCCTAATTTCCAAATCTGTAAAGTGAGGATTTACTGAGAAAACAAGCATGGCCCTGGCTGCTGTGGCTCAGTGGACCAAGTGCCGACCCGTCAACCAAAGGGTCTCCGGTTCAATTCCCAGTCAGGGCACATGCCTGGGTTTCGGACCAGGTCCCTGGTTGGGGGTGGGGGAGAAGCAACCAATTGGTGTATCCCTCACACACTGATGTTTCTCTCTCTTTCTCCCTCCCTTTCCCTCTTTCTTAAAGTAAATAAATAAAATCTTTTTAAAAAGATTTTTAAATTTATTTGTCTTTAGAGGGGAAGGGAAGGAGAGAGGGAGAGAAAC